CTCTGATACCAATTGAAGGTTTCTTGAACAAGAGAAAGAGGAGGAAGAAATATGAAGAAGCTTGAATGTTCTTAATTCAAAAAGAACAACAACACCTTTTTTAAATTGCCGCCCAATACAAAACAGAGAAAAAAGAAAGTGATTAATGCTCCCTAATCAACGTCCATAAAAATAGCTAAAAGAAATGAAAACTTTAAAACAAGATTTAAAGAAAATAAAACTAATTCCTTAATCCTAGGTATTCCTAAGCAAATATTCCAACACAATTCTATCTTGTGATGTTCATAACAAAGAAGAAATATGAAAAATAACTACAACAGTGATATCGTTTGAAACTCTACTAGCGACAGGGGGCAATTCAAAAGAATGAGTCTTCGAATCTTTTGCGGTGCCCAGAATCTGCGAATCCATAAGGAAATGTTCTCACTAATTCTTTACCTCATTTTTAGTCTTCTTCATCTTCAAGTTATAAGTTTTTTGGTCCTGAATCTAAGCCTATTTTGAATTTTGAGTCTAATGAGCCTAGCCTTTCTATTGGGGAAAGATCTTGCACCCAAGATTCATTGTCTCATTATGTGTCATGTGAATAATTGTCATACATTTTAACTTCACCATTGTCATTTATGGAGATTCCAAGTACTGTGCATAATATTCTCAAAGTCCCTAAGTGGAAGGAGGCTATTTTTGATAAGATGAAAGCCTTAGAAAAAAATGGCTCGTGCGAACTAGTTCATTTACCTAGATGAAAGATAATTTGCAAGTGCAAATGGCTGTTTACAACCAAGTATAATTTTGATGGTTCTTTGAAACAAAAACAATACTTGACTAGTTGTCAAGAGATTCACTCAGAACTATAATATTGATTATTTAGAGACATTCACTTCAGTTACAAAACTAAACTCTGTAAGAGTTCTTTTATCACTTGCAACTAATCTTGATTGATCTCAACAACAATTAGATATAAAAAATGTATTCCTCAATGGGGGCTTGGAAGAAGTGTATATTGATGTATCTTTGAGATCTAGTGAGAAGATTGGCACAAAAATGTGCAAATTTAAAAAATTTTGTGCATGTTGAAGCAGTCACTGAGTGTGTGGTTTGAGAAATTGCACTATTTGTTAAAGTTCAAGGGTATATTAAGGGTAGAGAGATCATACAATATTCCTCAGACATTTAAATGAGGGGAAGATAATTATATTGATTGTGTATGTGGATGATATTATTATCAACGGAAACGATCCACATGAGACGAACCATTTGATTACTTCCTTATCATTTATTTTTGAAACTAAGAACTCAGGATCTTTGAGGTATTTCTTTTGCATGGAGGTTGCTGATTGAAGAAATGAATTAGTGTTTCCCGAATTTTTTTTTTATCATCTATAGGAAATTGGGATGTGGGCTGTAGATCTGTAGACACTCCAATTGATTTCAATCAGAAATCGGGAGATGGGAAGATAAGTGATCTAGTATGTGGCGTATCGTTTCAATTACTCAAAGGAACAGAAGAAGGGGAGAGGATGCGAGGAGTCGGGAAAACGGACGGTACTTTTGATCTATAAATCAGAGACGAGATCGAATTACCTGTCAAGTTGATCGACACACAAAAAGGAAGAAGGGCCTCAAAGCTCGATCGTTGCGCATGCATCGAGGGCAAAGTGGATGGCGACGCCGGAGGCTTCTAGTGTGAAGGTTGAGCGGCTTTGCGATGCAACTAAGAGTGGTGCCCTGGTCAATCAAAGGAAGGAGTAGCTCTGTTGGAGGGTTTGACTAAAGGAGTAGACAACCTTGAAGTTGAGTCTCGCATGTAGAGGGGGATGAGGACGAAGGAGGAGGTGGCGTTGAGGACTTATTCTGTTGTTTTGATCCGCGATTGAAGGCATGTAGATTGAAGTAGAATATGAAGAAACGATTGCGTGAGCCACGATCGAAGACATGCAAATTGAAGCAGAGAAAGAAGCGGCTGCATGGGTTAACGTAGTGATAGAGCGTGGGTTAGTCGACTGATAGAAAGGTTAGGGTTTAAATAATAATAATTTATGAACTTATGTATATGTTTGAATTATTATGTGCTAATTGTAGGATTTGTTTATGTCATGAATCATGCTGCAAAAGATTCAAATTTGGATCGAGAAAAAGGTCGATGACACTAAAAAATGTTAGCATTTTAATTCTAAAAGTGTTTTGTAAAATTAATAATATTCAATATTAATATTGATTACAATAATTAAACTCAAAGTTTAAGTATTGAAATCTTAAAATAGTACAATACAATAATAATGAATAATTAAATTAAAACATAGTTAAGTGATAATTGAATATTTAATACTTTATATGTGATAATTTGAAAGAAGCCATACAAGTTAAGATCAAACCGATCGTCCATGATCTATTTGCGTACTCTTACTCCTAGATCTATAGTAATATTTTGGTCTCTTCTCAATCAATTGCATTAATAGTGATTGATATCTATACATTTATGTTTTAGTTTATCCTGATATGTACTCTTTTTTAATTGGTCATATGTGAAAATTAGGTCTCATTTTAGTAAAAAAAATATAATATTTTATTTAAGTATCTATATATTATATTATTTGTCATAAGATAAACATTTGTTTATGGTAATAGCGAGGGAAATCTAGGGTACCCATGCATGTATATGAAAAGGATTTTAACATTAAAGGACCTTAATTGGTATAATTTTTAGATGGTGCTCATGTGACAGTTGTGCATATATAGAATTATATATATATATATATATTATTGATATAATAAATTCATTGAATAATATGAAATATCGTAAATGATCATATTTTTAAAATATCAAATGTTTTATACTGATTTATTAAAATTTTAATTGACATGCATATTTTTTTCTTATTTCTTGTATTACTGTAATTTAGGAGTACAATTAGTCATTAGCTTTCGTTAGCTCACAGTTATTTTAAACTAATTTTTCATATGTAATTAATTTTTTAAAAGATGAAGAATAGAAGGGACAATGTTTATAGAAGACGCGGATAGCCTGTAATGAGATAAATTTACTGGTAATTTAATTTCCTTAGTAACTCTTTTATTTATTAAATGTTATTTATAGCGAAAAAATATAGAAAATTTAGTTCCCACATTTCGACCATCTGTATTCACCTTTGTTAATTCCAAACCTGGGAAGGGTCGTAATAAAAGTGATATCAGAACCAAGATTTATGATTAATTAATAATGAAAGAGCCAATATGATAATTATAAGAAAAAAAATATTAATAAAAATTAAAAATTAAAGTTAACTCAAATTAATAATTATATTTATTCAGGCGTAAAGATACACCCAAAATTATAGAAGAAGGTAGTCAAATAGAAAACGATGAAATACAACCTATTATAAATGTGAACTTGAATGTCCTGACCCAGATGATAGCGACCACGATTCAGTTGATTCATTTGTCCAGATCGCAATCTATTGGAAGTGATACAGTCTTTGTGAATAAGTATTTGGAGATATTCCTAGATTTACGTCAACCATTTTCTAATATTGTTTTGGATTTTTAAATAAATTTTTTATGTTATTTATAAAATGTTTTAAAATTGATGATTAAAGGTTTTGTGTTATTTTTACAAGATATTTAAACTATTTGGGATTTTTAAATGATTAATAGTTTTAAGTTATTTTGAAATGGTTTTAAATTTTTTTGGATTTTTTATTTTTATTTCTATGTTCAGGATATATAAGTTTATGAATTGACATATTTTAATCACATAAATTTGCAAGTAGTAGTAGCTCTAGTGACAGAGTTGTGACTATGAGTGATTAAATTATTAAAACTGGTGAACGCTTTAGATATCTTGGGTCTATTGTTCAATGTGATGGTGATATAGATGGGGATGTTATTAGTTGAATTCAAGTAAGTGGAGGAATGCTTCGGGCTTATTGTGTGATAGAAAAGTACCGTTTAGACTGAAAGAAAAATTTTATAAAATGGTGGTGAGACCTGCAACGCTCAATCACGCTGAATGTTGACCTTTAAAAGAGAAGCATAAAGCTAAGTTAAGTGTTGCCGAGATGAGAGAGATGAGAATGTGCCGAGATGAGAATGCTTAGGTGGATGAGTAGCTTCACACTTTGAGACAAAATGCAAAATGAATATATCTGTGATAGGGTTGGTGTAGCTCCAGTGGCTGGCAATATTAGAGAGAGTCGTTTTAGTTGTTTGGTCACATTAAATGCCGACCATATGATGATCCGATTAGGAGAGTAATTGTTTTATATTTGACTTATGTTAAGAAAGATAGAGGTAGACCTAGAAAGACTTGAGCATATTGTATAAAAAATGATCTTAATTTATTAGAATTAAATGAAAATATGACACTCATCAGGACGCAATGGAGAAAAAGGATTCATGTAGCCGACCCCACTTTGTGGGATAAAGTTTTGTAAAATTTTTGTGGATATACCAATCCTTGCATAGAACCTTCATCTAAGGGGGCCTAATGAACTGTTTACACATTTTTTAAACTGCGAGTATAATATTTCTGGTTATTTTATACAGGAAAATTAATTACCCATTTGCTGATTGTATTGGTTAAAAAATGGTCACATGGTTTAGTTAAAAAATATAGAAAAGCAGTGACTTTGATCGCATTTGGTAATGATTTTAAATTCCTTTATTTTTTTCACAAAACTAGCCTTTTAAACTTTACGGTAGAAAAGCGTTACACTGCCTTTGCTCTTTCATGAGCTTGTACTTCATGGTCACTTTTGCATATCTGGTTTTGCAAAATTGCAAGTGTAGCTGTAACTCTGTTTCAATTCAAACAGCATGATATATCATTACAACCTTACCAAATAAGTCTGTCTATTTTTTTAATGACCTATTGTTTAGGCAGAACAAAAATGAGAATGTACTGGATAAATTGATGCTTTATGCATCTATTATAGAACATCTTCTTAACTTTGAATTTACATCAGTTGATGGTTTTATTTTTTTTAAAATTGCATGAACAGGGAAATCGCCGGAGTGCTGGGTTTACAAATGAAGAAAGGGAGTCATTTCAAAAGAACTTCTTATCTAAGGGCTTCGTGGACACCTTTAGAAGACAACACCCTAGTGTGGTAGCCTACACATATTGGGGTTATAGACATGGAGGGCGCAAGACAAATAAAGGTACTTAACTACTTTTCGAGAAGGTGTTTGATTTTTCATCAATTTAGAAAGTTTTGATATTCCGATATGAAACATCACAGAAAAAAGAATTTGATTTAGTGTATTATAAGTCATTTGAAGAAATTTCCTTGAGGTTATCATTGTTTATATACCGTATTCTTTATTTATGTTTTAAAAGCAATAAAGTTTGGTCATATATGAAAGATCATAAATAGATCGTTACGCCTTAGTTTGGGTTTTGCACGTTATACATCCAGACAAGAGGATATTATGAAATGACTCTACCTTAACTCATTTAACCAACTCCATTCAGAAGAAGTTACACGCATAATTCAATGATGATAGAAAATTTGAAATTTTGTATCTTTATGAAGGCATTTTATTTATTAACATTCTAAACTCAATGAAATTGATGCATGCTACTGAATAAAGAAGCAAACTTAACCCCAACTAAAAAATTAGACACCCAATTGAAAAATTAGATAAACTAGAATACAACTATTTGAACCAAGAAAATATCACATAATTACTGCCAATTCCCAAGACATTGTTACTACTTAGGCTTGTGATGACAATGTACCTAGCAATTTAGTAGAATTTACATTGAATAATATAGAATATCACAAGTTTGGTAGAAAAATTCAATAGGTAGCAACTTATATTTACCAAGGCTTGAGAAATGGGGGATGCAATATGATCAATAAAATGACACGATTTATAGGACATGTTTATGTAACTTCAATTTTATGGTGTCGGGATAGAAACCCAAAACTTCTAATTTCCATTGTCTTCACAGTCATGAATGCCTACCAACAACATATGAAACGAAATTTCTGATAATTCTTATACAATTCAGTAATAGTAATTTTCAAGTGCTTGTGTGAATTAACTAGCTTGCAAGCATGCACAGTCATATGTAAGAAAATGTCAAAGAAATATTACATTTTATATGGCAATTCTTCTACAAATATTGGGATGCAATATGATCAATGAAATGTCATGATTTATAGGGCATTTTTTCTTTGTTACTATGCTATTATGTTTTTAGGATAGCAACATAAACTTATAATTTTAATGGAGTTCACATTCATGAAACCCTATCAATGTTGCATACGAAACTAAACTTATGACAATTAAATCTACAATCTACAATTCACTGATGCATTTACAAGCATGCACTATTTCTTTTATTTTTTAAGGAAAATGTCAAAGATTATAAATACATCATGTATATTTGTTCCATCAATAAGATTATATAAGGTTTTACTAGTTTCCATACGATTATCCTGACAGAGCTAATCAACCATATCAATGAAGTTTTAACTTTGCTTGTTTAGGTTGATTAGTTAGGCTAGGTATTTCTTTCAATGGGATACTATTGATGATCCTTTCCATCAAGCGCACAAGCATTGATAATTGAACAAACGATTTTATTAATAATATGTAAATATTGCTTTGCATTGTGACTATTTACATAATAATGATTAACATGCGATTTATAAATAGTATTTTAAATACATATCATGTGTACAACAAAATGATTGATTAATGCTCGACTAATAGAGATATGCAGTAATATACATGCAATGATGAAACTTGAATTTAAAGAGGGGCAGCAAAATAAAAATCAACTAAACTAAATTAAACTTAGTTTTTAGTTTTTAAAATAGATAAATAAGATAAAATGAAAAAAAGTTTAAAAATTAGTTATAAAATAATAAAAAAATCTTTTTAAATATAATCATTATGAAGAATCTAAAATTATTTCTAGTGCTTCTTCATTACATATAATTGACTCTACATCGAAATTCATTGTAATATCATTTTTAATATATATTATCAATGAACTGACAAGAAAATTAATTTCCATTTAATTTTGTATTCTTGTCTTAAATAAATTTCAAAATTAAAAATGCATGTTCAGTTGTTGTTGTAAAAACTAACATGTTAAGCTCAATGTGTTCTTGAAATGTGTTAGTATCTATTTCGAAGATCCAATGCAGAATTAAAATCAATAATTCGTTTTTAAACCTATTATTCATTTCTTGTAGTTGTGTATCTAAAGTGGTTATGAAAATATCAACTTTATAGCAATGTTCTACTATTATTTTGTTTTTTTTTAACATGATGTTCTCGGCCTTTAGTGTAAGGGGAATTCATATATGGAATATGTATATCTTGTTTTTCACAAAATAATTTCACTATATAAAATAAAGATTATCTTCATATTTCTTTTAAAGTTTAAAGAAGTAATTTTGTTGTTGATACTAAAGCATTGCATTAAGGAATTTATTTTTGGCTACCTTTATAATTTAAGAAGAACAAATTAAATTAATTATAAGCACCAAATATGTAAAGAATTAATAAATTGAAATAACATTTTTTGATGATACGCTAAACAAATAATATAATAAGCAAAATGACAATTTTTAATTAACAAAATTTATAACCTATTTTATTCACCCCGCAGATTACTTGCACTTTTACATCAATTATTTCAAATGTCATGGATATCAAGATTGTGATAGCAGAGAATGTCATAATTTTTTTCTTAAAATTTGATACACTTATATTTTTAAGATGAATTATATCAAAGTGTCATTCCTTAACAAATTCATTTTTATCAATAACTTTAATATATTCATTTATTTTCTTTTGATTCATGTCAAGCTCTATCAATTATAATGCAATATTTTGCATTACAAATTTTGTAACACTATTAAGTTTAATGAGACAATTACAAATTTTTTGATAAATTATTTAGAATAGTTATAAATATTTATCAAATTAAAAATATAATAATCATTAAATTATTATTAAGCATTTAACTTTAGGGTGCAAAATTTTAGTGTATTATATGATAAAAAAAATTTGAGGAAAAAATTGAAGGGGGGCACTATATACATGGAAAGCATGTTGATCGAATTAATTCTTACTATGATGGGGAAATAATATTGCGCATAAACTAACTATTAAAGACTATGGTATGATAAAGCAAATTCTATTTAACATATTACACATGAAAATATATATTCAAATTGGGTCCCAAATCAATTATAAGGGTTTCTCATTTTTGACATAATTGCAATAATGTTGAGAGAGAGAACTTTGTGCCAATTGATCCTTTTGTACTACCAACATGATTCGTATCAGATCATGTGGTTTTGAAACTTTTTGCTCCAATTATCAATGAGGCGAGGAAACATAATACTCTCTTGTGGTTCTAATAGCTATTAAATTTTAAAGTTTTATACCTTCAATGGCAGCAATAATCCAACATAACGCCCAGCTCAGTTTAAGGCAACCTATGACAACACATGAGAGAGATGCTCCACCTTTCCGTTAGTTTATTAGTAGTTTATATGGGGTTACTTAAAATGGATTTCTATGGTTTATAATAATTTGGTCAAAACATTCGTTGAGACAACACTTCTTATTTAAAAAGTGGTTTACTAGCATGAGACAGCTATTGCTTGCATTGCAATGGCAAAACATAAAATCGATATGTTTGTGACAATACATCATCCATTGGCATAATGTGAGCGTGAATTATGATCAGCTGTTGGAGGAGCATGTTTCATGAGCAACACTTATGATCACATATTTTCATTTTTTTTTTTTGGTATGGACTGGATCGTAACTTTTTAGGAGCCAATAGATATGATTTCCAACTTTGAAAAGTTGAATTATTCCAAGTCAAATACACTTAGAGAACCACAATGAAACTAAGCTCCAAAAATAAAGAAACATGAAGTCCATATTGGCTTCTTTTATAGTTTTAAAAGGGGAAGCAAGCGGCAGTTTATTCAATCCCAACCAAAAATAGTATTGGTAGGACATGACAAAATTTAATGTTATTGTGATTGCAACTCTATCCCTTCATAGTAGGTTGGATAAAGAGTACTCATTTGGAAGGACAAATATTAAAAAGTTGTTCTTAGGAGTTAGGACGAGCATTGAAAAGTTGTTCTACTAAGCACTGAACACAAGTCTCCAACTATTAGAGCTAATATTATCCGATGAAGCTAATAAAAAAGATGGCCTAAACTATTGCCTCTATCATTGGGTGGTTAGCTATCCTATTAATGATTGTTTTGTCTTTTTTAGGATGGATTGGAACAAATGTATAGATGTAAGGAAGTTACACCCTTCAAGAGTATTCTGGTGCATCCAAATGATTTGATGAGGGTGTCATATCCTCTTCTATATCATCAACTTTAGAAGCCATTAAAGAAAACTAATTTGACGTGGAGAATGGAAGACAAACATACCAAAAAACTTATGAAAATGTTGATGCATCTTTGATACCGAAGTTAACCTGAATCAGAATAGGGAAAACAAATATTAATACTAAAACTCAAATATGGACCTACAAATAACCAACTCGAATAGGAAATAACAACAATCACGATACCATAAATCGAAAGTAGCAATTGACACTTATTAAGTAGACAGTCGGGGGATGATGTATGAGGGTTGTTTGGGTTGATTGCAGCTAGATTGAAGGGTGGAAATGGTGGTGGTTGCAATGACGTGGTCGGAAGCTGGTCGGCGGCTGGCCAACCGGTGAGGGAGGCTGCGATGAAGGCTGGGAAGGGGCGACAAGCGATTGGAAGGGTTGTGTGGGCTGCTGATTGCAACAAGGTTGGTGGCTGGCTGGAGATGATAGTGGCAAGGATGGAGGGCTAGAACAGTGATGGGCTATGCGGTGGGCTCCCGAAAAGTTAAAGGAAGGCTGTTCTGGACGGGGCAGCAAGGAAACTACAGGAAAACAACAAACAAACTGTTGTCGGCGTGGTCTGCAGCAAGGAGAAATGCACGGAAATGGTGGTGGTTGCAATGAGGATGTGGTCGGAAGCTGGTCGGCGGCTGGCCAACCGGTTGGAAATGGTGGTGGTTGCAATGACGTGGTCGGAAGCTGGTCGGCGGCTGGCCAACCGGTGAGGGAGGCTGCGATGAAGGCTGGGAAGGGGCGACAAGCGATTGGAAGGGTTGTGTGGGCTGCTGATTGCAACAAGGTTGGTGGCTGGCTGGAGATGATAGTGGCAAGGATGGAGGGCTAGAACAGTGATGGGCTATGCGGTGGGCTCCCGAAAAGTTAAAGGAAGGCTGTTCTGGACGGGGCAGCAAGGAAACTACAGGAAAACAACAAACAAACTGTTGTCGGCGTGGTCTGCAGCAAGGAGAAATGCAAGGTTGCAAAGCGGGAGGGATGCGAAGGAGTTGGGGAAGAATAAACACCATATGAAGACTAAGAAACAATCGAAGCACTACCTGAAAATCAAGATACAACCCTCCCAGGGAAGAAGAGACACCGATGGTTGTCCTGATACAAGAACTCTAAAAACTAAACCTAAAAGATCATAAATACAAATATATATAATAAGAGGATATTTGATGATAACGGTGGGCTTCCGTTTGCTTCATTTATGTTGGATGAAAATGCTGAAAGGAAAAGTGGTGGCGTGGGCTGTGACCTAACAGGCCAGGGACATACCCAACATAATGGTAAGTTGGGAGGATTTTGTGGAGCTTTTCAGATAGTGGATTGTTCCCTTACCCTAGAAGATGGATGCAGGACAAGTTTGTCAAATTGGTGCAAGAAGAGAAGACGTTTATGCATTATGAAACGGGGTTTACTGCAGTATCGAGGTATGCACCACGGTTGATAGCTACTGCAAAAGAGAAGTGTTTTAGGTTTCTTTCTAGATTGAAGAATTCTATCAAAAAGTCCAGAGTATCGTTGGGGATTGATGTTTACTCAGTGTTGTTGGAGCGAGCTAGATGAGTAGAGATTGATTTTCAGCTTATTCAGAAGTGTATGAAGACACACGAGAAATAATATTGATGAAAGAGAGCATGTGGATTAGTCAGAGGGATTTAATACAAAGACGACCAAGTTATATTCTGATAGATTTAGTGGTGGCACTTCTCATAGTACCATCGTCACCTGTGTCAAAAGTGAAAAACAACATAAAGATGAATGTTTAATGGGCTCTCATACATGTTACTTGTCTCTTAAGTTTAATCACATAGTTTGATATTGCCATTCACTTGGTTAGAAAACTTCAGAAGAATAACAATCAGTTGGAGCTCCTTCATAGAAGACTATGGATGGATAGAGAATGATAAATTCTACAACTTTGACTAATTCTTAAGTTCAACCAAGACCTATTTAACCTCGAGTTTTTACCCTTACTTATAGAACACCTGAAGAAGCTATTGTTGATGCTAATATGGATTGACAAGTTTTATGTTTTATTTCATGTTTTAGGAGTGTCATTCTAGTGTATTTCTTTTTCAAATGATGGGTCTAGTTGTTGTTGTGTTACCTTGATTTAGATGTGATGTTATTATGTTTAAGTTGTTGGCGAAAGTCAGTTGAGTTATCTTATAATAGACCATTGTTTTAATATATCCTTGTTCTGTTTGCTTTTAGTGATATTTATAATAGATTAGATAATAGGGAGGGTGAATGTTTTTTAAGTTCTGTGAATTAAAATTAGTAATTTTATCTGACAAACAATTGAATTAAAGGTTAAAGGAGATTGATTTTGCTGATTGTGCAAACTAAGAGAAAGTGGAGAAATGTTACTGTTTTTTTTTTCTAAAATTATTATGTTTAAATTATTGCTTTAAAATATTAGTATTAATTGCAATTATTAAATTAAATTTCGAGGAATTGAAATCTTAATTAAAATGGAATAATAAGATAATGATTAAAAATTAAAAATTAATCAAATTATAATTAAGTAATGTGATAAAAAATTAGTAACATCAATATTTTTATTTTTGTAGGCGTTAATTTGAAAGAGATGATAGAAATTAAGAATAAAGAAATTGGTTAGGATCGAGGCGAGTAATTCTACTCCTAAATTATGGTAATAATGTTATATTTCTACTAAATCACTCATTAGAATGATATTGGTGAAGATACCCTGGTACTTTAAGTTGAATATGATTATTATGTCATTATTCAATTGATCATTTAGAAATGAATGTATGTGAATGATTTGCATAATTATACTTATTTACTAAATATGCATATTATAAAAGAATGATATTGGATGATATTTTGAATGCAAACTAAGGGTGCGTTTGGGGCGGCGGTGCGGTATCACACCGCAATTTTTATTGTTAGGCAAAATTGTGTTTTGCCTGCGTTATCTAAAAACTGCACTTGAAAGCTAGATTTTTCCATTAAACCTGGCTAGCTGCGGTGGCCGCTAAAAACCTTACGGATTTTTTCAAAATTTTTTTTTTTTGGCAATAGCCACTGCAACTTTTTGAGCAGCAGTAGCTTCTTCTACAGCTTCACAACAGTTTCTTCAAACAGCTGCAACTGTCTCAAACAGACTCTAAATGATTTATATTATGTTTGTATGTGTATGATTGTCTATGATGAAGTTCACCCTTTTTGATACTAGCGAAGAAATGATAAGGTAGATGTACACATGAAGAAATTGTAGGTGGGTGGGTGTGTATATTTGGGTGGGTCGGTGTGCGTGTGTGTGTGTGTGGAGAGGTATTTCACTAAAGATAAGTTAATCTTGGCAGTTTTCTTATGTCATCTAATAATTAGCATGTTATATGAGTAAATGTAAAGATTTAGATGCTAGATATGTGAATGCAGAAGAATTCAGTGGTATGTATTTATTCCCTTTTTATAATAATGCTTTTAACGTCTTTGTTGCATTTGAATTTTTATGCAACTTTTATACGCTAATATGAGGATTTCAACTTTTGATATTATTTGCCTTTACAACAGGATGGCGGCTTGATTATTTCTTAGTCTCAGAGAAAATTGCAGATAAAGTTCATGATTCCTATATTCTCCCACATGTGGGTGGCAGCGATCACTGTCCCATAGGGCTAATACTGAAGCTATAGCTTCACAATAGCTGCAGGTAAATACTTTGCATTCTTCCTTTTTGTTTCACTTCATTAACTTTTGTCATAAGACACTGTCTTACAATCGTAGGCTTCAAAGATTTTGTGACCCAATGCATTACCAACCGATACTTCTTAAAAACAAAGAAGATTTACATTCATACCACTCAATTCTTATGTATTTACATATCAAACACCTAAAGTTTGATATTTACACTTGTAACAGTTTGTTATCATAAATCTATGCATGAAAACGTGTATTTCGCTTTTAAAAAGTTAGTAGTGGTTATTTTTTTATGTGATGTTAAAAGACCTGAGTGTTATAAATGTAAATATGACAGTTTAGCTGCTAGATATGTGAGTCTGTATGTAAATTTGCCTCTATGTAAAACCTGCTGAGTCTATTTATGAGTTCAAAAACTGATCGAATTCGACCCAACCCGCTTGAGTATAATTTCTTTTTACGTGAAATGTTATTTATACGGCTCGACTCGAATAAATCTTGATTTTGGAACGAGTTTTTAATTTTGAGTAGAGCTGAACTCACTTGAACATGTTTCAATGTTAGCCTCACTGGGGTATTGTTAATCCGGTGAATCCTTTCATCTTGCAACTCAATTTGTGGCTGAAAATCCTCCCACTGCTAACCATTTCTTTCATCTTTAAATGCAAATAATTTGTGCTAATTTTATAGCAGGTTTCAGGCGGAATCACTTCATTTTGGAAAGGGATTTATCCTTTTTAGGTACTGATTTCCTCAACCTTCCAATAGATTGCTGAACTCTTCTTCTACCGGTGCATATATATATATATA